CCAAATCCAGTAGTCATCTGGGGGAGGAAATAATCCCAAGCCCTGAAAGAGCTGAAAGAGCAAGCACAAAGAACTGCGAAGGAGCACAGGGAGGCACATTTCAATAACTCAGAGGAGGTGTGGGGTCAGAGGGCTGGGGGCCTGGGTAGTGATTGTATGGGGCACATGGGAAGGACCGACATTTTATAAGGCATATGATAAAGAAAGCATCTGGACAGAAGTCATCTCATCTGAGTTTTCAAAACAGAAATCCTTTGGCGGTAGTGTTGGGAAACAACGGTAGGGGGCCAGGAGCAGAAGCTGGGAGCCTAGTTGGAGGGTAGCCCAGTAGCCCAGCAAGAGAGCTCACTGGCTTGGCCAGCATAAGGGAGTCTGTCTGCACCCAGGAGGCATGCGGGCCAGCATAAGGGAGGCCTCACAACTGCAATGGGTGCGGGTCTGGGGAAGAAGGCTTGAGGGTGACAGGAAAGGATTAGGCCCCAGCAACTCCACAGACGTGAATGCCCCTTACACAGAGAGCAAGCGTTAGGAGAGCAGACCTGGGAGAGAGAGATCCAGAAATGGGTTTTGAACTTGGAACACCTAAGTTTGAGGTGTCTATTGGGTCCAAGAGGACCTACCTATACTCTTCAGTAGTGCAATTATAAGTATAAAATAAAAAATGGGCTTTCAGAAACTCATCCATTTCATCAAGCAAGATACCCCTTGGATACTACACTGTAACAGTCTCATGCTGAAGATACAGACTTGAACTTTCTTCTCCCCTTGAGGTTTGTGTGGTATGACATCTTACTTGCCCATTTCAAAGGGATTAAAAGCCTCCCTCCCTTCCCTACCTTACCATATCCCCAAGAGGCAGCCATGTGGTTGCCAACAGAGAATAGCTCAGTTGTTCTAGCAGGGTTTTTTTTAAGGCAGATGAAAAAAGCCTTCACTCTGGAATAGAAATATCTCAAGAGGTAACTAGGTTCCACAGCATGCTTCAGGAGAGTAGGAGGGCACTGGCGTGGAGGGACACATGTTTCCTGGCCTCACCTTCCCCTGATCATCCCTGCAACTGTGACCACCACAACACAGAGCTCCTAGCTAAATATGAGGGAAGTTCCAAAATGTTTCTGGAAAAATGGAATTTCAAGATAATCGCACTTTCCCATGAACTTTTTGAAACCCCCTTGCATGCTAAGGAAGGCCACTCTTAGGGCAGGACAGTAAATTATCTAAACTCGAAGGAGAGGTGTGTGGGAGGGTGGGTGAGGGATACGGTACAGAGATAGATACAGGCTTTCTTAGGCTTTACACTGCAGCAAATGGCAGATGCCTAATTAAAACATTTGCAATTAGTTTGGCTTGTTCTGTGATTCCTTCCTGCAAACAAATAAGATGGGAGAATATATTAGCTCTTGGCAATCTAGCTCTTAAAAAAACCCACAACAACTTCTTCTCCCATCATCACTCTCTTATCCTGTCTGAAAAGAGCCGAAGCCCTGTGTACACGGAGTGAAGTATCTGACGAGCCTCCTTGTTAAAAACAATATTTTTTCTTTCATTTCATATGCAAGTTCAGAATTAACCATTTACCTTTAAAGCATGAGTACTGATTTTGTGTTTAAGCCAGGTTTTTACTTTGGGTGTTTTTTGTTTAATTTAATACAAGTTCTTATTTTTATTCAATGAAGATAACATTCTATCTCTCCTTCTCATTCAACACACTCATCTTTACTAAGGCAACCATATCGCCTACTCAAAATGCAAATGATTGTTTTTATGATGGGGAAAGCATTCACTAGCCTTTGAAAGACTTGGAGGTGTGTGTGTGTGTGTGTGTGTGTTGTGTGTGAAGAGATGCACTTAACTGCCACTTTACATTAACCACTTAAAGGCATAGGCTTTTCTCTACAGGAAAAATAGACAGGTCTTGTCTTAGTGGAGAAATTTGAACCATGTGTGACTATTTCTTTCCTTCATTTCTTTCATTCAGTATTTATGGAATTGTTTTTACTGGTTCTTATGAATTTTCAACCTATTTAAACTTTGGTATAAGTCTGCAGATGGTTCCTGAGATATGATTCTGGGTTTGTGTTTAACATGTGTGTGGATGATATGCATCATAAGGACAATGGCCTACCCGTCAAAGGTGAGACCTTCAAAATACATCCCACAAACATTGTAGAAACAAGATGTGAAACATGAAGGAAAGGGCTTCTTTACACCAAGTTGAAAAAGACTCATAATAAATACAGAAAATACAGAAGCACAGTTTTAAATCTGAGGTTCAATTGTTTTCTGATTTCGGGTGGGATAACAAAGTGCCTCATTCAAAAATGTCCTAAAACCTAAATAATAGCAGGGAGTGAAGGGTTACTCAAGATCCAAATAAAAGTGACCATGTAAACAAGCACAGGTAAACTAAATTCAAACAGCTAGTGCAATTATTTTTTAACAGATACTTTAGGCTAATAGGTGGAGACAAGATTCTGCCACTGTATTTAAGGTTAGGTTAATAATTAACTTTGGTGCTGGGAGTAGTTTAATCAAAGTATACTGTAAATCTATAAAACTGCTCCATGCAAACTTAACTGGGTACTTTAAAAAAATGTTTGCCGTGGTGACCTCTAATAGCCTTTTTGGATGTGGTGTAAAAAAAGTCAGGTTATTTTCATTCAGAATTGGGCACAGGCATCTTGGGGTGGCGGTAAGGGGAGGGGGGTTGTCAGTGTCTACATAAAGGATCCCTGTAGCTGGGAACACCACTCTTCCCTTGCTATCAGGGTGGCCAATGGTGAGCTTGATGCACAAGATGTGTGTGTGTATCAGGGAAGGGAAGACCGATAATTATCCAGATGAAAAGGAAGGCAAAGGCACTCGACCTTCAGCTCTGGGGGAAAAGGAAGAGCGAGGGGGCGGGAGGGGGGTGGAGTTAAACGGCTTTTCTGGGACCCGCTGGCTGAACACTGAAAACTGGGTTAAATGGCTCTTCCTTTTTGTGGCAAAGTTGTGCGTATGACTGCGCGTGAGCGCGCGCGCGTGTGCCCTCGCCTGTGTTTTTAATCTGTCCGTGGATCACACTGAGTAGCAACTCCGTTCCTATACAGGATAAGCAGGGGGCTGGCTAACCTGGTCACAGCACCCCCAAAGAAGCCACCTTTTTCCCGAGGGCCGAGCGAGGTTCAAGGCCCCAGGCGGGCGGCCAAGGCCAGTGCTGGTGGCTTGCCCTGGCTACGAAGACGGAGTCGGCAGTCTCCCCGCCCCTCCCCTCTCCAGGCCCAACCGGCTCTACTTTGCTCCTCCCAGACATCCACCGGCTGGAAAATTGGGAGCAGCGGGCAGAAGGCTAGGATGCTGCACTTGGATCTGGTCACTTGCCAGGCAGAGCTTTGACCCGGGTCCACAGGCTCGGGTGCACCAGCCTCTATCCAAAGTGGCCGCGCCGACCCCCTGCCTCTGCACGCCCTACCCCCCCCTCGCTCCCCTGGTGGGGTCGGCCGACCGCTCAAGCTAGCGCGGCTCCACGACCTCCACCTCGAAGCCAACCGGCGGCCTCCGGGGACGCCACCCACCATTCGGCCAGTCCTGCAGCCGGCGGCCTCCTCCAGGGCTGCCCGCCGCCTTTCTCTGGCTCGGGTTTCCCCAATCCCGTCTAGCCTGTCGCGCCCACCCTGCCCAGGCTTTCCGAGAAACTTTCCAGAAGCGCCGAGGCCGGCGACCCCACGCTAGAAAGCGGGGCGCAGGGGCGGCGAGGGAGCGGGGATGACAGCGGAGTCCAGTTTCCTCTCCTGGCACCAGCCAAATCCGGGACCGCTCCCAGCCTGCCCACTGCGCAGCCCGGGTCGCGGAAGAAAGCAGGCAGTTTTAAGAGCGTGCTTTGCACCAGCTCCCACACTCGGGGGCTGAGAAGCGTACCAAGCACCCCGATGACAGACACTTCCCAGTTCCAAAGGTCTCGCAGAGTCGATTCCTCCCCGGAGTCCTCCCCGCGACCCCACAGCCAGCGCTCTAGGACGCCGCGAGGAGTCCGGGCGCCTAAACTGAAGTCGCGGCGGAGCCCTTGTCTGGGTAGCAACTTCCAGTCATTTCTTGCCAGACTCCCCACCCTTCCCCCTCTTGGGACACCTCCTTTCCAAAGAGGAGCCTGGCAGGTTTGGGAGGAGGGTGCCGCGGGCGCTCGCCCTGGCGAGGCGAGCTCAGTGCTGGAGGGTAGGCAACCCTGTGGCCGCTGGCCTCGCCCCTCGGGAGGGCGCTGCCGTGGGGAACGGGACCCCGGGTGGGGACGCCGTGCCGCAGAGGGGCCTCGCCTTGGCACTCACTGGAGCTAACAACGCCCGTAGTCCGGTTCCAGCGACCCCGGGAGCCGGGATGTCACCCAGAGGCAGGACGCGCGCGCGCGGTGCCAGGGCCATTACAAGTTTCCCTGGCTGCACACAGCCCAGCCCAGAGCCCGCACGGACAACAAAGGGCTCTCTCTGCGGCTCCATAGTCTGAGCCCAATCCTTTCTCCCAGCCCCGGGACCTAAAGCTGGCGCTGGGGGTTGGCAGCGGGGTTCTGCCCGACCCATTTTAAGTCCTGGAGGGAAGACCCCTGGCCCAGGACGCGACATCGCAAGGAGCTTCCAAGCACCCCACCCTCTCCTCTCGGGACTACTCGGTTCCCAGCTGGCCGGAGCGTGAGGACGCGTCCCCAACCCACAGACCACGCGCACACGCCCTGGTGGGGCAGCGATCCCGTGCCGTCGCGGTCCGGGGTGGCGCCCCGCATGTGCGCTGCGCAAGCAGGGAAGCTGGCGACGCGGAGCCCAGCGGTCTCTGGGGCGCAGGGCGGAGAGGCGCGGGCAGGGTACCCCGCTGCTCCCCCAGGGCACCCAACGCACAGGAGACACCAAGGCAGAAGACAAAATAAAACGCAGGCACCACAAAGCCCAAAGCGTGCTCCCCCGCCCAGCCCCACGTCCCAGACTGGGGCCCCACCGCCCCGGAGGTGGGGCGCGCCGGGCGCCGGGACTTACCTTTTCGGTGCATCGACGGGTAGGCGGCCTGGGCTGGGAACAAACTGGTGCGGCGTGTCTCCCATTTAGTAATCCATTATTGAGGGGTTCTCTCCCGGCCGCAAGCTGCTCGCTCTCCTTTGCAAGCCTTTGTCATTCCTACATGTGTGCTGGTCTCTTTTGGGGCAACAGTCTCGGCGACTACTTTCTGGGATGCAAATGAGCTGTGTTCATCTCCAATGACAGGCGGCGCAGGAGGGAAGAAGCCGCAAAACCAAAAAGACCCAAAAAACCTCAAAGCAAACAACAAACAAAAAACCAAACACAAGAAAGGAGTAGATGTTCTAGAACTCTTCAAATCCCAATGCCACTTGGATTCCACTCCGGCGAGTCCCTTCCGTGGTGTCGCTGATTAACAAGTCATTTCTGGGCGGGGGGCGGGGTGGGGGCTGGGGCTGGAGTGCTCGGCTCTGGCCACGCTCTGGGAGGGGAGCGCCGTGCCACCGGTGTGGCGATGCTGGCCGCTGCCCCACGCTCCTAAGCGGGCATCGCGGGTAGGCGGTCCTGCAGAGAAGCGCGGCTGCTGGGTCCCGAGCGCCTGGACAGCCGAGTGCGCGCGGGGAGCAGAGTTGGCTGCTGCCTCCACCCCGTGCGGCTCACTACTCCTCTGCCACCGGAGGGGACGCCGCTCCGAGCGGAGTCAAGTCCCGGACTGGATTACACAGAGCGGACTCTGCTGGTGTGTGTGTGTGTGTGTGTGTGTGTGTGTGTGTGTGTGTGTGTTTGTGCGCGCTCGAGCGAGCGAGCGAGGCCGAGAGAGCGACAATCACAGCGGGTGCAGGTGGAGCCCTGTGCCGACTGGCCACGTAGCTTCCTTCCACCGAGATTCCCGGGTCGGTGGCTCCATCAGCGGAGGTCCTGGCGGGGGCGGTCGGGCCTGGAGCCCAGCTCTGGCTTCCTCCACCCCAGCTTCTGCCGGAGCAAGGGAGGGGAAAAAAATAAAAATAAAAGCCCGGACAGCATTGCTGAGTCCTGCCAAATCAGAGAAATAAATAAAAATAGACGTAGTGCAGGAGGGAATTACAAGAAGGGATTTGTTCATCGATTTTCTTAAATGGAAAAGTTTTAAAGCATGAGGGTAAGTGAACAGCGAGTCTGTCTAATTCTGATTACTGTATCAAAAGCTGGATTCCATAGTGATGGACGCTTTATGTATCCCGATGAACTGGATAGAAGCCGGTGAGGTTAAAAATACACTCGGAAGACAGGAACCCGGCGATTAGCTGCGCACACACTGCTAACACAGCACGTTAAGTAAGCAAACAAACTACCGTAGGGAGAATGGTGTTATTAGCAACAACAATAACGACGGCTGTTTTAAAACTAAGAAAGTGTGTGCACCGCTCTTTGAAACACATAAACTTAAAGAAATGAGACGAAGCCAATTTCCGTGAGAACCAGGCGGCTGGGGGCATCAGAAAATCCCAAGACTTCCGGGGCGCTATTGTTGTAACCCCGCGAAGAATGGTAGGCGCAGCCTTCCTGCACCACAAGAACTTTGGATTGCCCAGCAGCCCGGTAGGGACAGGCGTGTGCCAACTCGCCAGGCCGCGCCAAGCCCCTCTCCGACCGCGGCGCGCCCCAGCTGCGCCCCGCAAACAACCACTGCGCGGCGGCTGCCACCCTGGGGGGCTGCGCCAATGGAGCCCGTGTTAGCGGCAGCTTCTAAAGACACTGACATCGGGGGCCAAAGTGGTCATCGGACTGCATCCACTGCTCAGGGGCTTGGAGCAGAAAAGCAAATGGGGTGAGAAATCTGGACCTCAGTCCTACATGGGTCGACAGCCGTCAAGCAAATGCTGCAGAAACAAGTAGTGCACTAATTGGGATTGAGCCACTAAGAAATCCACATTCCCCTTAAACTGTTCCTGCTGGGAATCCACGATAAACTCAGATAAACAAATCAAGAAAACTCGCGAAGAATAAGTGCACACGCGATAACCCAATCCCACCCCGCCCCAGTCACCAGGGAGAAGGTGGGGGAAATGGAAACGGCGGTGGGGGTGGGGATGGGGGCGGTGGTGCTCTCAGTGTTCCTCAGAGCTGCCAGCAGGGGCCGCTCTGCCCACCTTTCCTAGGCCGACGCCGCTCGGGCCCG